ACAGAACGGCGAAGTGATCGACCTGTCGTGCCGAGTCTGCGGTATCGTGCTGTTTGAACACATCGGCTACAAACTGGAGCATCTAGAGACCGAAGCACATCGCATGAAGAAGATGCAGGTCACTGGATAGTGGACGTTCGCAACCAATGCCCTAAACCCGAAGTTCAGCAATGAGCCTCTGGATGTAAATAGTCACCCAAAATGATGAGTTTAACGGTGCATCTGGAAAACGACCGTGGCCGCACTTGTGCGAAGTTTGTCATCTGTATCCTGGGGGAAAACGGGGGCAAGCATTTTTGTAATAAATCTTTTTGTTCTATGATTGTTTTCTTTTGCAATTCTTTATCGTCGTACTCAAAGTAGTCGTAGATAAATTGCGTGAGTAGTTGTGATCGGGACCATCTCGGTCTGCGTGCCAGGTTTAGCAGTCATTGGTTTCTCATTACGCATCGTAAAAATGTACTTTGATGCAGAAGGATCCAGTGTTACAAAAACACGTTTCGGTGCATAGACAAAATCAAATAGCTTATTACGTGCTCTTTTATTAACGAACACATGGCATGCCAGTAGTGATAATGTTGTAAACGGAAATCTGTTCAAGCAAATTTCCACTGGATGTATTATACCAGGACGGAAATTGTACGAGAACTGTAAACGAGGTTAGACCAGTTGGTATTTCAAAGACGTGGCGCAAACTTGAAAACCGCTTCAAAACCCTTTACCTTTCCACTTTGCTTCTAGGACTTTAAACGACAGTTTTACGACGCCCGACTACTCAAGAAGCCGGGATGCGCTTGCTCGAGTGGTGCTAGAACCGTTTTACATCAAAAAGAAAGATGATTCTTTAGTCAGCGTGCCTTCCATTTTGGTGCACAATGGTAAATACAAGCTGTTAGATATTCATGTTTCTTTGTTTAGATTGATACGTTGTGCATGCTTGTATATTGATTACTTTATTGTTTTCTCACATGCTCACTGTGGTTTGAATGGTGCGACAGTTTGGGATTTTCGCCGAGGCTTTTACGTCAGAATTTTTTTGGTTTTTCCGTTTCTTAGATACTGTGGTTGGAGACTCAGTTTCATGCCTTATATATTCCTTCCTGCACGTGCAGTGAGTGAAATAGTTTAGCGCATGTTTCAAAAGAGCTTTTATAAAAGACAATGCTTCAGGAAAATAACCTTTGTGTAGAGTTTGCACCCTTTCTGTCTCTCCTCGTTCTTTTCAGTTTTTGAGGTTTGGCCACGCCTTTCAAGTACGAGAACAGAATAACGGGTGGCCGCGGCAAAGACGGACTCGTGTAGTACGGCCAGGAGAACAATATCATCTTTCGACGACATTTGCAGCAAATCACGCTTATAACATTGTAAATTTTTATTGCTCTCTTTCTTTTTAGCTACTTCTTTCTATCTCTTTCTCGTTCTCTACATCTTTATCTTACTTTGCTTCCCCTATCCGTATATTTACTTTCCATTATATGATATGATTTATCTCTACACTTCTGTCGCTTCTACTCCCATCGCTTACCTTTGCCAACTTCTTGTTGCACTCTACTACAGAAGGCTTCTTCTGGTCTGCTAGGATGCCTGGATAGCTGAGTGGTTAAGATGCTCGCCTTCGGGCCGTGGGAGAGCACCTAAAACCCCGCCTCGTCAAAAAAGTTTCTCGCCAAAATTTTCTCTTTTCTTTTTCTTTCGTTCCATCTCTCTCTCTTTGTGCTAACAAGCACAGAATGAGAAGAGTTAACAGAATTTTGCGCGGATGAAAATCAGTGCAAGTGTACTGTGCGGTGTTGCAAATATTTATTATTCGAAAATACTCAGCGCCAAGGTCAAAATTGCTCTTTCTTCTCTAGATCTATTTTTTTATTTCCCTACGTTTTGCACTACACGTCAAGATTGTACCGTGTAAAATTGATAACGTATCGATTATATGCATCGTGCGACGTGTTGGCGTATGGGTCGCAGGAGTCGGTAGTTACTTCAAGTTGTTTGAAAGTCGGTTTCACAAAGCGACTAAGCAACATGAAAGACTGCACAATGCATGAAAAAAGCGTTAGTAGATTCGTATGAGAAGAGCATTGGCTTAAAGCCGAAAAAAAGCTAGATGATTCTCAGCGAGGATATGTCTGCCAATGTAAGCGACATGGTAACAAAAATGGTTGAGTGAAACGTCATAGATTAAGAGGAGAAAAGAGAAATTGTATGGCAGTGATTGAAAAGTTCCCTCGGAGTAACTAAAGATTTGGTGATGATTAGATATGCCACAATATCTTTTACGACAGTTCAAGGGGAAGCGATTTGATGTTTGAATGAAGGTCGGGTTCTTTTAAAACATGTAGTTTTAAATCAAGATTAAGAAAAGAACAGAAAAATATTTTCTTTGTTGTACAAAATTTTTTCTATACTGTGCCAGAAATGAAAATATAAATGCCTCAAATAAAACGTAGGCATACAACAAATCAATGAGAACATATCTTCAAGCAACACTAAGTTATTATAATTGATTGATTTGTGGGGTTTAACGTCCCAAAATCACCATATGAATATGAAAGACGCCGTAGTGGAGGGCTCCGGAAATTTCGACCACCTGGGGTTCTTTAACGTGCACCCAAATCTGAGCACACGAGCCACTAAGTTATTATAGACTAAAGGCATAATCGGTTAGTGCAGCCTTGATTGCTGACGCGTCCTCGCTGCAGGCGATGGAGGTAAGAAGGTGCTTACACTCAGCGCTGGTGTTTGAAGAAAAGAAATCTGAAAAAAAATCAGTGCCGCGAAAAGTAATAGAAATTTATACTGAGGATCACACTCGATGATGTGTATGGAGGTCCTGAAATGAGTTCCTATTTGAATGAGTTGTTTTGGTAGATAACTTTTTGAAAACGACATGGACAAAAAATTTTCTGGGTAGTTTCAGATCCGTTTTTCCAAAGGCCGATTTCGTTTGTGAAACGCTAGGCGTAAGATAATCGTCTTAATTATTTAAACACGTTGAAAATTTTGAAATGATTCAACTATAGTTGTTAATGATTTTGGCTGGAATCCCAAACAGAACAAGTGAATTTGAGCTTGTGTCTAATCAGTATTTTGTAGAACAGTATTTTTAGATGTCATGGTGCATCGGAAAATTTTCTGTATATGTACCCGCGAGATCTGTTGGTATTGTTTCTGATGTATCCAATGTGCGCATGTCAACAAAGGTTATTGGGGAGCTGAATTCCGAAATATCTATATGATGTTACGTACTTAAAGTTCATAAAATGGGTTTCTATGACTATGAGAACCATAGTTCCACTAAAAAGGAGTACAATATAATAATATTAATATTAATATTAATATTAATAGGCAGAAGAACAGAAAGAAGAAGAAGAAATGTTCAGCTTCACGGGGTTTTAGCCATTTTAGGGCATCATAATCATCATCAATACCAGTTTGGTGGAGCGTGAGCCACATCCTTGTTTTAAAAGATAAGCCATTTGGTCCGCTGTTACTGGAAAAAACTTGCATTATCTATCTTGTGGTAAAGATGGTCGGAAGGCGAAAGCAATGAGTCGATTGTAGTGACGGAATCGAACTATTTCTGCATTTAGCGTGGTTTTGCAGTGGCTCTTTTTATTTCCGCTCATGATATGGAGCGCCGGTTGAGCAATGCATAGGACGCCGCCATGCAGCAAAAAACGCAGAGGGCCCGGTCCTTGCATCCGCCTAACGTTAAAATAAAATTTCAGATCTGCAGCGAAATCACAGCATCACAGTTAAAGCTCAGCCGTAGCTAAAGCACAGTCGCTGCGCTGCATGTATGTGTGTAGATTGCGAAACATGCCTTGCATGATATCATCTGCTGAAACTTTTGGTGAGTGAGTGAGTGAACAAGCTTTATTTAACCAGCGGATTGGAAACTTTTGCTGTCGTTTGTACTTTTGAAAGACATACAGACTTTTTATCTAGTCGGATGACGGGCAGCTGCCGAGTGAAGGAGGAGTATTGCGGCTGTCAACAAGATATCGGTGTGTCTGTAACAAACATGGTCACGTCAAAGCATGCCAAGAGTAAATGGATACACCACCATAGTTGTAGAAATGCGAGGAAAGGATCGCTCCAGAGGTGTTGCTGTCTAAAATGCGCGACGCATGTGTGCAAGCCTTCTAACTTCAATGAGACTAAGCATATTGTTGATATGTATGTGGTGTGAAAGCTGAAAATGAAATCTTCATGATCACAGTGTATGTCTATTGCAAATCCTAAAAAACTGACATCCAGTACTATATGCGCACAACTTTCAAAACAGTGAATTATGTCACAACGGTATTCATTGTTGGAGACTTGAATGGACACATTTTATGTGCCGAGAGAAAATTCTTTCTCCAGCATCAAATGGGAGGGTTTCTGCTCATGTGCTTCATCAGCTGAAGTCACCTAACCACCGTTCACAGACCTGTGTATGGCGGTCAGGTGACTTGGGTATGTGATGAACATGACGATAAACAGTTTCATTACAAGCTGGAATGCAAAAGTCAGTGAGTACACTGCAAAAAATATTTTCTATGGTATATGAAAAAACCTGTAGGTAACATGCTTCCAGCCACGCCCGTACAAATAAAATGAAAGTCGAGAAATGGTGTAGCATTCAAACACGTACAGATAGTCATGCATAACATCACCCGATTCTATAACATTGGAATCAAGAGCACTATATGGTATGTACACTGTAGGGCCATCTCTGTGGTGCTATGTTTCAATCAATTCACTTTCTGTACGCAAGGAACAAATGCATCATTCGTAAGTGTAAGCATGCATAAAAAAAAACAGCATCGCTGGGATTTCTTTTTACGAGGGGCACATTGTAGTGCCATCTATGTGATGCTCTAATTTAATCAATACGGTAGGTATACGTAAGAATCTATGTATCATCCATAAGGTAAATAATAGTCATGCATTAAAGAAATGCTTTGCTTGGATTTTTTATGCAGATGCACATAAAAAATATAGGTAAAGCATATGCAATGTGAATTCACAGAAACTTTAATTGATTGCAATGTCTTATTACAGATCAAGAATGTAATAAAAAGTCTTATGAAAACCTACAAACAGTTGTGGCATTCGTGCTTCTCAAAAGCCCATATAATAAATAATTGTAGCATTTGTACTTCCTGCACATTCCTGCGGCACCTGTAACAATTCCGCAGGTGTGTTCACTGAAAAACAAAACAAAAGGAGTATCATCATAATCACGCTCCTCGAGTACAAAAAGCAAGAATTGTAGCAATCACGTAGTCTCATCACATTTTGTAGCCTTACGTGTACATTACACTGCCCCTATACAGCGCAGAGAGACGGTGAGAGAGGGGAGAAAAGAAGGGGAAAGCAGGGAGCATCAGACAGGTTGGACCTGGTTCGCTATTTTGCACGACAGCAGGAAGAAAGAAATATCAGCACTGATCATGCGAAAGATAAAAAGGCTTGCTTGTATTTGCGTAAAACAATTATTACACCAAGCAAAGTTTCTAGAAGAAGCCAATTTTTCAAAAAAATTCAAAACATGCCAACTGTTATTTTGCGTATTTCTGCATGGTGTTTGCATTACACATGCCCTGACTGTGCCGCCATGAGACAATGAGGTTAAATTATGTTTAATTGTTAACTACCTTGAAAAGAATGAAAAAAAAACTCATGGAATTCTGTGAACCAGTGGGGGTGGTAGGATTAGGAAGGTATCGACACAAAGTTTCGCAGCTGAGATAGTTTATGACATGGATTCCCACGAAGACGTGCATACCGTCTCCAAATATATATGATGACATGTGGGTTTAACATCCCAAAACCACCATATGATTATGAGAGAAGCCGTAGTGGAGGGCTTCGGAAATTCTGACCACCTGGGGTTGTTTAAAGTGCACACAAATCTGAGCACACGAGCCACCAGCAGTTTCGCCTCCATCGAAAATGCAGCCACCGAAGCTGGGATATAATCCCGCGACCTGCCGGTCAGCAGCCAAACACCTTAGCCATAGAACAAGGCAGGGAAGGGGGGGCTATCGTTTGCAAATATTGGTTGGAATCTGGTATATACGAATTTTGAGGTTGGCATGCGCGATTCAGTGCTATATGCCACTCCTCATAGAAAGGACACCCTTGAAAGTGACGCTCTGCTTGTCCAATGTCGGTGCGACAAGTTTTATCAATAATACGGAAAGACGGGCTAGTTGGTACTGCTGCATAATTGAAGTTTTTGCGCACACACACAAGGACACCTTGTGTTCCTTTCTTCTGGAACACAAGGGAACACAAGGGAACACAAGGGAACACAAGGACAAGGGGTCCTTGTGTTCCCTTCTTCTGTGTCCTTGTGTGTGTGCGCAAAAACTTCAATTATGAAGTTTTATCAACATAGTCATCATTTCCCCTTTGCCCTATTAGTGCCAGCAGATAGACTTGCGAGCGGCCACCAATAAGTATAGTCAATGGACTCGATGCACACTTCATGTTTAGCGACTCTGCTTTCTTGTTTCTCCGTTTGAAAGGAGTTCATGAGGACAGCGTTAAAGCGTGTCACAGTTCTGTGTGCTGGTGTAGAAGGGCATCAGCACATGCTAGGTGTGATAGTTGCACATGTAGGCTTATTAAAGACGATAGTCTTTCTTGGGACCTTCGACGCAAAAATTTTGGCCGGTCTGTTTGTATGTCTGTGTGTCTGTACACTTGTCTGTTTGTTCTTTCTTACAGGCATCGGGTACTTGAAACGGCTGACCCCATCTGCAGCGACCGCCAATGTTGCTCAAGGTTGAGCGTTCATGCTTGTGTAATTGTCAATTAAAAAGCAATTATTGCACATGTCTGGGGAACCATAACAACATGCATATATTCTGCATATGAATCTCTTACTGGAAAATGCATACATAAATAATTTTAAGGACCGTAGCACTTATCACGCTGCACTTACCATGCAACGCTTGCACGGAACGGGGAGTGTTTCCAACGCTTCGCCAAGACAAGATGGTGGTGGCACCTACCCATCGCCTCACGTTCTACAGCTTATCACTTCCGAGATGGCTGCGCACGGCCACGTGCTTTGTTTTTTAAAAAAACTGCCAGATGGAGCTCATTTCTCACGTGTGACATGACTTGATGCACTCGTTCGCCTCCGCTGCACGCTCGAGGCACTCTAACGCAGTGCCTCCGGAATACCATTCACCAATTTTCTTACGCAGAACATCAAATAAATGATTTGTTCACTCTCTCCACACGCAAAACTATCGTCTTTCGATGACGTTTGCAGATTACAAGCAGATATGGGTCCAATTTTTGTTTTTGGAGCTCTTTCAAACTGAAACTGAGACTGGTTCATAATGAGGACCCTGTAATTGTTTATAGCAGCACATGCGAGCAATTAGTGTGCCATGTGAAAAAAGTGCTAATGCAGTATTTTTGTCAGTACCCTCTTCAAGAAGAGCGATGTGGCAGCAGGGCGCTAATAATTAAAAACTCTTCCTCACAGATATATCAAGTACTTACCAGCTGCATGCAATATTTCAAGAAATTCAATGTCATTCCTACAACAAAGGCAAAAAGCTTTGACGAACAGAATGTAAGCATTTTGAGAGATTTATTTTGCCTGACATAGAATCAAGGAGTTGGCTGGCTGCTTAACAATCAATTATTTAGCTGAAAGTGCTGGTCTCCAGAACACCCTGGCCCTTCTTTAGCATTAACAGTGAGCACTTGCATTATCGAAAGGATGTTGATGATTGACTTCTAGCTGGGTTACAGTATCGGTAGAAACAAGTTCAGCTTTGGAGAATAACATATAGAAGTGTTGAGGTTCTAAACCTTAGAATCACAATATTATTACGAGACAAGCCCTAGAAATTGTAAGAAAATGAAAGACAGTAGAGGATGGTATGAGGATAATGAGTATCTGAATATCAAAACAATTAAAGATGGCAGTATTTGTGCACTAAAATGCTGTTGCGTTTGCTAAGCTGAGATGGTCATCAATCTACTGCAGATGCTCCATGACCCAATTCACTAGCAAATAGGATAATCCCAGAATCAGTTAGAGAGGGTACCACCAGAAGCTTAGATGGTGCAAACAATTCAGTAAACACTCGCTGATCTGGCTTGCAGGCAACATGCAAAAGACATTGGACCAGATGACATAAGCAATAAGAAAGACATAAATTTACTATATACCAGAATCAGCACAACAGGCATTTAAACATGCAAGGTATCACATGTAAGAACCACAAAGCCACAAAGACCATGCTAACAGAACGAACACCTGAGCTGATATACCCAAAAGAAGTTTATGACACAGATGTACTGATTAAACTTTTTGCAGATGCAGGAATGCTAATGTCTGAATCAACTAATCCATAAACAACACTGCTGTGCATACCACCAATGCTCTCAATAACAGTAAAAAAATAATTGAACAGATTGTTTAATGTTGACTGAGTGAATGCTTTGAACAGATATCTGGTGACCAGCATAGTAAGCAAAGCTTTCTTGCAACATCCTGCAGAAGGCAAGATATGAGGACATTGTGGCTGCTGCCACAACCTCAGCGGAATGCGTGAAAAAATTTCAAAAAAAAAAAAAATCTGCGAAGCTGATGCGATCGACATCTTGCATGAATCAGATGTGCTAAATATTTCACATGTGAGCACTGACCATGCAATTTCTTCAGCTCGAGTGATGAAGTTGGAAGTGTTCTTTAGGCAAGGTATGGAAGTGGGCTAGTTGGTATTCCATAATGTAATATGGCACAAAAAGAAAAGAAAAAAAGAGAAACAAAAAGACAAGCACTGGCTTATGGCACAGAAAAGTGCATAGAGAAAAGAGAAACAAAAAGACAAGCACTGATTTACAACTGTTATTTGCAACTACAACACACAAAGATATGCCTGGGACATGTGATCACGATCATACTTGTCGTAGCATGAAGCCGAGGAAACAAACTAAAACCAAAAAGCCAGAAAAATACACTGAAATAACGCATGCAAAAATGTTTTTGTAAACTAGACCTTTTTTTTGTTAGTGCATTAGATGGCTTGTTAATGCAGATTACATTAGCTACTGCCACAATCAGTTGATGAATCTTTCGATACTAAGATGAGTGGTCAACACTGTTGCTTCATGAAATAAAGACATGCATTGGCATATCACAATGTGAGCTGCCAGAATACCAAAATTGGAAATCAAGAAGTGCAAAACAAAGTCTGTTGTTTTATGAAACAAAGAGAGGCATTAGCATTGAGCAGATTCACTTACGTAAAAACCATCACGGTGTTGACCAGTCACTTTAACAATAGCAACAAAATCATTGTTGACACATCATCATCATCAGCCTGACTACGTCCACTGCAAGGACAAAGACCTCTCCCATGTTCCATCAGTTAAGTTGGTCCTGTGCTTGCTACTGCCAATTGATACCCGCAAACTTCTCAATCTGATCTTACCACCTAACCTTCTGCCTCCCCCTAACCCACTTGCCTTCTCTGGAAATCCAGTTAGTTACCTTTAATGACCAGTGGTTATCCTGTCTACGCACTACATGCCCCGCCCATGTCTATTTCCTCTTCTTGATTTCAACTATGGTATCCTTAACCCCCATTTGTTCCCTGATCCACTCTGCTCTCTTCTTGTCTCTTAAGATTACACCTACCCTTTTTCTTTCCATTGCTCGCTACGTCGTCTTCAATTTAAGCTGAACCCTCTTTGTAAGTCTCCAGGTTTCTGCTCCGTAGCTAAGTACCGGCAAGATGCAGCTGTTATAAACTTCCTTTTGAGGGATAGTGGCAATCTACCTGTCATGATTTGAGAGTGCTTGCCAAATGTGCTCCACCCCATTCTTATTCTTTTAGTTACTTCAGTCTCGTGGTTCGGCTCCGCGGTTATTACCTGTCCTAAGTAGACATAGTCTTTTACAACTTGAAGTGCACTATTACCTATATCGAAGCACCGCTCTTTTCCGGGGTTGTTGTACATTACTTTCGTTTTCTGCAGATTAATTTTAAGACCCACCTTTCTGCTCTCCTTGTCTAACTCCGTAATCATGAGTTGCAATTGGTCCCCTGAGTTTATCAGCAGTGCAATGTCATCGGCGATGCGCAGGTTACTAAGGTACTCTTCATAAACTCTTATCCCTAACTATTCCCATTCTAGGCATCTGAAAACCTCCTGTAAGCATGCGGTAAATAGCATTGGCGAGATTGTATCACCCTCCCTTATACACTTCTTGATTGGTATTCTGTTGCTTTATTTATGAAGCACTATGGTAGCACTTGATCCCCTGTAGATTTCTTCCAGGATGTTTATATATGCTTCGTGGATGCCCTGATTCTGCAGTGTCTGATTCAGTAGAAATATCAATGGCCATGCAAATGCCTTCTCGTAATTAATGAAGGCTATGTATAGTGGTTGGCTATATTCTGAGCATTTCTTTATTACTTGGTCAATAGTATGAATGTGGTCGATTGTTGAGTAGCCTGTTAAAATCCTGCTTGTTCCTTTGGTTGATTGAATTCTAATGTATTCTTTGCTCTTCTAGCAATTACCTTTGTAAATAGCTAGTATACTACGGAGAGCAAGCCAATCGGCCTGTAATTCTTCAAGTCCTTGTCATCTTCTTTCTTATGTATTAAGATAATGTTTGCATTCTTCCAAGACTCTGATACTCTTCCCATTAGAAAAACTAGTGACCCTGTTTACAAAGTGTCTCCTAACACAATTTGTCCTCCATCTTTCAGCAGATCTGATGTTACCTTATCCTCACCAGCAGCTTTGCCTCTTTGCATGCTCTCCAAAGCTTTTCTGACTTCTATCATTACTGGTGGGGTGTCATTTGGGTTACTGCTAGTTCTTATAGTATTAAGGTCTTGGTATTCCCGGCTACTGTACAGATCTCTCTAAAACTCCTCCGCTATTTTAGCTATCCTATCTATATTGGTAGTTACTTTGCCTTCTTTTTCCCTTAGTGCATACATCCGATTTTTGCCTATCCCAAGTTTGCTCATCACTGCTTTGACGCTCCCTCCGTTTTTCAGAGAGTGTTCAATTCTCTTCATGTTATACCTTCTTTCATCGGATACCTTTCGCATATTAATCAACTTCGAAAGCTCTGCCAGTTCTATTTTGTCTATTGCACTTGAGACTTTCCTGCTTTGACGCTTCTTAATGAGATTCTGCGTTTCCTCGGAAAGCTTGCCAGTGTCCTGTCTAACTACCCTGCATCCAATTTCCACTGCACACTTCGTAATTATACTCGTCCGTTTATCATTCATTGTATCTACGCTAAGGTTGGTTTCCTCAATAAAAACCGAGTACCTGTTCTGAAGAGAGACTCGGAATTCCTGTATTTTCCCTCTCAGTGCTCGCTCATCGATTGGCTTCTTGAGTATAAGTTTCTCTCATTTGTTCTTCAAGTCTAAATGAATTCGAGACCGTACCATTCTATGGTCACTGCATCGTACCTTGCCAACCACTTTCACATCCTGCACGATGTCTGGGTGTGCACTCATTATAAAGTCTATTTCATTCTTATTTTTGTCATTAGGGCTCCTTCATGTCCACTTACGGTTTCCTTGTTTTCAGTAGAAGGTATTCAAAGTCCGTAAGTTATTGCGTTCTGGGAATTCTACTAGAAGCTCTGCTCTGGCATTTCTAGTACCAATGCCATAATCTCCCTCAGCCTGGTCTCCAACCTGCTTCTTCCCTACCTTCGCATTAAAGCCTTCCATCAGTATAGTATACTGTGTTTTTATCTTACTCATTGCCGATTCCACGTCTTCATGCAAGCTTTAAACTGAAGGGTCATCATGGCTGGATGTAGGCGCGTCAGCCTGTACCACCTTCATCTTGTATCTCTTATTGAGTTTAATTGCGATACCTACCACCCTTTCATTATTGCTATAGTATTTCTTTATGTTGCCAGCTATGTTTCTGTGAATAAAGAACACCACTCCCAGTTCTCTTGTGTCAGCCAAGCCCAAATATCAAAGGGCGTGCCCATTCTGTCGCACTTTATAGGCTTCGTCTGTCCTCCTAACCTCACTGAGCCCTATTACATCCCATTTACCGTAATTACTTGAATCTAACGCGCACCTTTTTTCCGGTTAAGTGAGTTCATAAATCGCATGCGCGTTAGAATCGAGTACGAAAAAAAAATGATTATGATCATTCTATTGCCATCGGCACTTTCAAAATGGCCGCCCCCTATGTGCGTCGGCATGGCGCGTCGGCCATTTCTGCCTATGTGTTTTCCATGTGCGGCACTTCGTACGTGTGCTGAGGAGTTCGTCATCTTGTAGTACATTAGCATCGACGGCATGGTAGGGCCGACTCAAAAAACTCAACGAGTGTACCACAATGCTGCTTTTAAAAGAAAAGTCATCGCGGTCGTTCGGAGTTTCCGAAACGTGCGTGCGGGACTGGCCGAAACAAAAGCAGAATATTGTCGACAGTAAAGATTCACGCAAAGGCTTCAGTGGACCACAGCAGGGTCGGTTTCCACAAATTGAAGAGCTGCTCGGCGAGTATGTGATTAAGCAGTGAGCGGCACAGCGGCCCGTGACGACAGAACTGCTCCAAGTGCAGGCTATGCAGTTAGCCTTAGAAAAAGGGCTAATGCAGAGCCAGTTTAAAGTGAGCAGGTGCTGGCTAACTAACTTTATGAAGAGGAAAGGTTTTTCCCTCCGAAGGCGAACGGGCATATGCCGGAAGTTGCTGGAGGAGTACGAAGAAAAGCGTCAAAGTCTTCAGAGGTTCCTCCTAAACTTGTGGCACAAGAACGGCTACCTGCTTGGGCAAATCGGGAATGCTGATCGGACGCCTCTTTACTTCGACATGCCTGGCACCACAACCGTCGAGGAGAAGGGGGCGAAGCAAGTTCGTGTGCTGACATCGGGCCACGGTAAAACAAGAGTGACCGCAGTGCTCCGTTGCACGTCAGATAGGCACTAGCTTCCCCCGTACCTCATATTTAAACGAAAGACGCTCTCAAAAGGAGTCGTTTTCCCGAGTGGTGTGATCAAGCGGGTCAACGAGAAAAATGGGTGCACGTTGCAATCGATGTCTTAGTTTTTGTCTTTTTTTTTTGTCGTGGAAACCGGGCACGCATAACAATCGAGGGCACGGTAGAATCGAGTAAATACGGTAATGCCCTCTAGCTCCTCGAATAGCACAGCTAAACTTGCCTGACTAGATAAGGTTTTAGCGTTAAACGTTGCCTTGTTTAGGTTCCACTGGCGGCCTGTCCGGATCGAGAGATTCTTAGCACCCTTTGCTGCGTTGCAGATCTGACCGCTGCCATGGTCAGTTGCTTCACAGCCGCTGGAGACTGAGGGCCATGAGTACTTGACTGAGGGCCGTAAGTACTGAATCGTTGATACAGGTTCTGTTACATATTGCTACTACCTCGACAAGTCATTCATTGCACTAACTAAAAGGAAACTAGTAGCTCCCTTAAATTCACCAGCACTTGATGATCCTATGTAGTTCAGCTGCCTTTTGGTTTTGCTTTGACAGATATGGCTGTGATAACATGTGTCAGGTATGTATTTTTGTGTTGGTTAAGTGAACGATAGTTGGAAATAGCACTTGTTTTTGTCGTTCCTTTATAAAGTTTAAGCTTCAGCACATAAAGTGCAAAGCACACAGTGTTATTTAAACATGTTAGGGAGCTGTACCAAGAGAACATACTAATTTATTGTCCTACCAGCTTTTAAACCAGACAAAAAGTCACATTCAGTAGTTTCAAATAAATGGCAAAGTTGCAAAGTTTTATCAATTGCTAACTCATAAAAGTGCTGAGCTTCCTAATTCAACTTGATTAAAACTGGCATGATTACAGCAAAGTAGCAGCCATTTGGGTCATATACTTTTTTGAAAAAAGTTGATTATGTTAACAGAATCCTGACAAGAGACCCACTCGGGGCACATTGAGAGGCCCAGAAGCCGAAAACTTCCAAGGCCATGCTTCAGTCATCTCTCCAAAAGCAATATGCGGCAGAGAGTGTCAACTTTCAATAATGATCAGGCGGGAGCTATTTTGTGAACAGTACCCAAGAGCTCTGCCATATCAGTGAAGTCTTGTTCTAAAAAGGTTTACACTAAACTACCCTCATAATGACATGGTACAATTCAATAAAGTATCTCAGACATATATAAAAACTAGCTAATGTCACGGAAGTTTGGAGCTGTTTTAGACACCTTCCACACACATCTATTGAGCCAGTCACGTGAGAACTACTGTGGCCAACAATGCAGATTCGCTTCCCAAGTTCAACCAGCATGTGCTGAAACTAAGCTCCACGAGTGCAACTGTGGAACTCGCTGAGTGTTGACACAACTTCGCTGCTCTGTAACCCCATGCTTTCAAACATTGCGCTTATGTAGTGCCAAGCCAATGGAAGCTATGATACTGACAGATTTTCAGCCTGCTGAGATTCACGCAAAAAAATGGACAGGTTTTGGATGGAGAACAGCATGCACATGAAAATATTAATAATGAAGCTTTATGCTCAGAAGGAAGAATAATAAACTGATCACGAGTCTTGCATATATAAAAGATTTATTTTCCCAGAAATTGCCAAAGCTTCTTGGTATCTCTATTTGTCTTAAAATCAAACCTAGAAATGTGATATTTTACATATTTTGGAATCATGGCAGTCATCACTTTGAAAATGATCACTAGATTTCTGTTCCCAGATTCGAAAAAACAAATACCCAAGCTATTTCATAAGAGATGCATGCTGACATGTAGTTTTTGCAGCGATTGCATTTTCTTGCACATAACCGACACTTCCAATACAATCCGCTAAGGAAAAAAAAGTGGAGGGGGGAGCTGTGTAGGAAATTCCTTGCATATTGACACAAAGCAAAATTGAGCACCAAAATTAGTGCAATACAGACACTGATAGTTAGTGTACAAATTGTTCGAGTTAGCAGGGTATACCATGTCATCATCTGACCAACCCTATTATGATGCAAGCACACTGGTATCTCCTACAATGAATTATCAGTTATATCAGGGCATCGAAGAGGTTCAAATCAAAAACCCGAAAATAAACAATTGTGCAGAAAACCGTGATAAGCTTGCACTCATGATCTGCTGTTAAAATGCAGCACTTCACATGAAAAACTGTACCATATGAAAATAAGCTATTACAAGACATTTTATGATTAATAAAACACACCTGGTTAGGACAGTTCAGCTGCTCTGACAGGACGTTTGCTTGGTGCACATGGTTGAGCTTCTTTACTTTTGCAGTAACAGATGTCCTCGACCGCTGTCCTCCTTCACGCTTGGTAACCTTTGGGGGATTGATATGAAACAGCTGCCTGTAAAATGAAAATTTTCTTTAGTTAGCAAGAAGACCATCCATGCGCTTTAACTGTCTTGATACTCCAAGACTGTATAATGCCACCATAGAAAGCAGTTACCTGAGATAGTATTACTAGCTTAGCCAGGGGTGGGTGGGTGGCACACTGGGTCCATGCTCTTCCTTCCCCACATTTTTTTTTTGCCATGGCAGGTGCCCCCTGCTCTCCCGAGAAGAAAAATTCTGCCTAAGCCTTTGACTACTACCTAAAAAATAATTATTTTTCTGAGTCGTGATGGTCTGAACATGCACATGACCAAATGGTTCACAATGCATTAGCAGCAAGTACTGCATTTGACAGTGTAACCAGCTGAAGCGAAATTTCAAGGCACTGTTAGTTGTGTCGAGTGGCTTCTCATAATACGGTATGTACATGTGCATAGCGGCTTTTTTTGCAAACACTGCATACATTATAAAAGATATTCTGGTTTTGCAACTTGTGCACATGGTTACGATACAGCTGGTGCATGACCCTCAAGTTAGTTTTTGTTGCTTGTTTTTACATAGATATATGTGCAGCAGACTAAAAGGATGTGCACATGTAATAATAATATTTATAATATTAATAATATTATTATTAACAATTATATCTGGAGTACAACACCCAACACCACTGCACGATTATGAGGAACCCTATCGTAGAAGACTCCAGAAATTTCGACCATCTGGTGTTCTTTACCGTGCACAGACATTGCACAGTACACAGTCCCATTTCAGTGGAGGCGAAACGGCCTAACGTGGCAGAGATCTGTGAACGTAGAATGCAATGTAATGAAACAATGTGTGTAAAGCAATTATCAAATTCAATGTGCAACAGGAAATGCAATAAAGAGAGTAATGCCTTAAAGTAACCTATTTAAAGCAAATGTCCCCCCTCCACGTCTGCATCACAAAATAAATTACCAGAAAAGTGTAGGGTGGGCTTGAGAGAATAGCACCAAAACTCAACATGATGGCAACAGAATTTTTTTACTCCAGGGAAAAAAAAAGCAGTGTAAGCATGAAAGTCTCATTCTTGCCAAGGTGTAATATAATTTGTTTTGATACAATCAGCCTAAGGCAAGCAAGGAAACATGACCAGACTGCGTGATTATACTATCGAAGCACCACTGACAAAAAATCTGCACCAATGCAAAAGCTTCAGGCAGTATACACAAATACTAAAGGTCGTGTATATGCCAAATATGTGCACCGTAGGAATCTCATCTGAATTGCAAATACCAATCTTGAAAGTCAAGGTTTTGCTCGTAGGAACCTAAAATTAACCATGGGTGTCATGAGCACAGTTGGGCGAGTGCTAATAATGTGGAAAAAAGTAAATATCACTGTGAAATTGCGATGCTATGTGCCTGCACCTGAATGAGGTTGTCAATGTTTCTAATTGGGATTTTGTTTGATTGAAGCAAATCAGAGTTGCATGAATGTGGTGCATAACAGAGTGCAAAGTGTTTCCTGAAACAGTACAGAAATTAGCTACGAAACTGGACAAGACATCCACTCAGAATTTCACAGTTTACTCTAGATTTAGGTATGCCAATACTATATGTACTATATACTATATACCTATATATATTATATACATTACTTTTTTAAACAGCAACCATCACTGCACGTGTACTCTGATACAGCCATTCCTGTACTTGATATGGGGGATTTTACGTGCCAAAACCACTATATGATTATGAGGCACGCGATTGTGAAAGGCTCTGAAAAGTTTGAGTACCTCATCTTCTTTAACGTGAAGTGACATCACACATGTGACTGCCAGAACCTGGTTTGAGTCCACAACTTCCAAGTGTGCAGCTAAGCACCATAACCGTTCTACCATCAATCGTAGCGGCAAGGAATGTCTCACTCGTGATCTCATGCTTAGCATGTACCATGATAGAAATGTTCTTTTTTTCTTCCACATCTCAAGGCCCCACTCTTGCTCCTTTTTGAAGAGACAAAGGCCTCTCAATCGAGCATTTGTTCTTCTCACTTTGCACATCTCTTTACACTTGTGTGTAAATGCCTGTCTACTCTTTGCTTTCGAACTGTCAAATTTCTTATCTTGCACCTTGGCTACACAGAATACCTAGAACACACGTTTTAGTCATGTCTGCACTAACTGTACTAACTAGGCCAGAGCATTGTTACACTCTGTACAAACTGTAGAAGTCAAGGCACAAGTATTAATTTTCTTCATAACAACAGCTTGCAGTGCAGTGTTAAACCTAAACTAAAGAACTAGTAGGCATTAACAAAGTGTGAGGACCTGGCATGCGATGCTACATTCCACTGTGCAAATACCATCATTAACAGCCCACAGATCAGGTCAATGCTTTTTTTTTTATTCGTAAGAGATGAATGCTTTTAGAGTTTTGCGAGCCATGAGATGAATGCTTCCAGAGTTTTGCGAGCAATAACTTATAAAAATATTCGGGAACACTTTTAATGGTTGCCATCAGACATTTTTGAATTTGTGTGCAGAAATAATGAATTCCAGTACTGAATTTAAGGCGGCACTGAATTTATTAAGGGAATGACAGCACTCATTTAACAATGCAAATTACCACCAACAGAAAGGCTGACATTTGCAAGAATTCTAGTGTGATCGCAGCACTATTTGGGTACATCATGTTGAATGTATAATAAGTGAAGAACATTACACAGACTGCCTCGGTAAAATCGGCCGCTTCACAAACGAAATTAAGTATTGCTACAAAGTTTTACAAGATTTACATGGTACAATGGGAGAGCCTATATTTTTATCGCTTTATTTGATGGTTTTCAGTCAACTAACAACTGTTCCAGCAGCGTCTTAGGAACAAAAAAAAATTAATATAAAAGCTCATTTCCATTCGACTTGTAGTAGTTACAGTAAACAAGTAACCAATCAAAATTGCAATTACATTTTTTAAATGTATTGATTAGGGAGGGGGGGGGTTAAATTCAGCCCTAGAAAAGTAACTCAAGAATCGTAGAAATGTAATCAATTCCTTTAACACTACTTCATAATTTTATTGCTGTAGCACAATAATGCAAGTTTACGTAATCTCTAACCTTGTGGCTGGCATGTTAAACTACTGGAGTTGGCATGTTAAAGAGAAGGTTAAAGGTTTGTTGCAGGCTGAAAGGCTTACCGAGACTTCGGCGGCAGATTGTACAAATGGTGCTCATGGGTTCATATAAAAACTGCGTGTTCAAGGAAACAGACTTCTGTTGGTAAATTGTCTCTTCCATAGGTCATCGTTGTAGATATTTGTGCAATTGAATAATTTGGATCTGGTTAACTTTTAATGTCATTAGTTTATCAAAGTTGTTATTAATAATAATTGAGTGCTTTCTTGCTAAGAAATCAGCTGCTACATTGAACACTCTCAGTGCATGTGCTGGAGTGAAAGGTCGTATTATATATAAAGCAACACCTTGCACACTGGTCATGGTTGTGCAGTGCTTTGCTGCTGCTGGCCCTAAGATAAGGTATTGCAGGGAAAGTGGTAATTTTGGGCAAACAGTTACAAGAAGAATTAAAAAACCTAAAGTGTTACAGTTTTGAAAAGAAATCATAGATTGTATGACAAAAATTAAAAGAATTTGTAATCGATTACAAGTAACCAATTACTTTAAGAGATTACATAAAATTTATCTAGACCATATGAAGATATGTTCTAGAGAGCAGGTTCTCCCTATAAAGTGCATTACGAATGTTCTTGCACATCATAAGAATTGTTCCTGCCAGTGCAAATACAATACTATTTAATCAGGTTTATGGTCCCAAAACAAGAAAGCAATTATGAGAGACCCTGTAAGGGGCAGGGGGTGGCTCTAAAGTGCACCAAAATCTAAGTACATGGGCCTCAAGCATTTACTCCCCCCCACCCATCAAAAATGCAGTCACTGCGGCTGGGATTCAATCTCCTGACATATGGACCAGCAGTCCAACCACCATAAGCACTAGACAATCATGTCGAGTGTTCCCATCCACGCAGGTCAAACTGCTTCAGAGGTTGCATGTGGCACAACTGCAGTGTCCCACCATATGCTGAATGTGCAGTATAAAAACCGTTCATTTTTACCCTGTATTTTACAAGTGATAGAGCTTGATTTCGTACCGCGACTGCTGTTGAAAGCCTTTGTCCTCTTATTCTTTACCCTTTACCCGCCCCTCATCTGAATTCCTGGACATGGTGACGAAACAGTTTTAACTGTAGGACCAACCTACATTTCTCAATGACATATGATGCACTAACCCAAAAATATGTAGCAGCTTGCGATAACCTTGTATGACAAATGATCGCTTTCCATTGTGTATAATGCAAACTTTTATTAATAGCGGCACTTACAGTGTTCGCCAATATCTTTCCTTTACTGCAAAAGTAAAAAAAAAATTCTGCATGCCCCACCCACATGCAAGACAATTACTGTGAAAATATTAGCATGAGTGTAAATATTTACAAAGTTAACCATAAACATGAAGACCTGATCAATCAATTCTTTGCTACTAACAAAAGAAGTACGGTAGAGTACATTCTCAGCATAGTGTGACTGCCTTCCGATAGTGCATCTTTTAAAATATTGAAATTTATTCATACACGCATACATACATCATATCTACATACATACATAAAAAATATATACAGAATGCATAAGCCTCAAATCTTCCGTGGCATGAAAACATGCAAGGCTAGACCATGTTACACATTTAGCTTTTTATGCATTGCAACACCTGGTTGGAACACAGAATCGTGGCTTTATTTCGAAAGTTAGGAGACACCCCTTCAATTAAGTGCATTGATTTAACAGTACTGTAATCAATACCATTTAGGCTGCCAGAGTTTCTCATATTCTTGATTCCATGCAAGACAGGCAAATCTTGATACAAGTAAACGAGTATACATGCACCACGATCAAAGAGTGTCAATCCACAACAACATGAAACCAGGGGCTGCAGCAGTATGGTGCCTACCTCTCCCCACTTTTGCCTGCCCTTTATCGCGCCCATCCTCCTAAGGGCAAACACTGTCATAAGAAGCCCGAATTCCCTTCCCCCCCCCCCCACCAAGATTGAACTCTTATCATGGTTCCTCTCGCCCCAGTACATCGATCCTATCACGCCCACTGCAGGGAACACCTTCCTTGACGCACTAGTTACAAACTTGAAAACACACCTTACCTAGGGCTGCAATGATGGGTGTAGGTGGCAGCTCAGAAAGCACTTCAGTTATACTTGTGCCATGCTAAAAAGGAAAAGAATGACTCAGTTTTGAAGTGGTATATGCTATATAGGACGTCCATTTACTAAGAGTGTTTTCCCTCCCCTTAAAACTTTGTCACAATGCATAATGTATACCTTATATGTATTTGTATAGCATCTTGTTTGGTGAAGGTGAGGAAATTAAGCACTTCTAACTAAAAAAGCCACATGCAGATATTCATCAAGTGAAACGAGATTTTATACAAAGGCATGCCAAGACCAATGGTGCTACACAATGAACCATAATTCTCACAATGTCAGTGTGTGGCCACATGAGCACCTGCAAAGCAGAATAGGGAGCTGGAGTGCCAGCCACCAGGGTACCTGTGGTTTTAATTGCTAATGATGCCTGGCTTGTCTAAGCACACAACCGTGCAGGCTCATGGTTGCAACGATAGCAGTTTACATAACCCAGCTTAAACTGTTTGCTGGACAGGTACTCTTGTAGCAACAAAGACAAGAGATAGGAAGCAGCAAGTCCAATTTTTAAATACACAGTGCATTCAGGAGCGTTCAGCTCCTCTAGCCAGCAATTACCGAGACTATGGCCACAGTAAAGGCCGCCACTATGACGTGCACTATATTGAGTTCAAACTGTTTCGTCCTGAAGTATTAAACCCACAGAACCAATGCAATAAATAAAAGTGGTATCTCACTGGGCGCTTGTGTTTTTCAGGACATATTAAAGTTAGATTATGCATTGCAATAACACATTGTGTTAATTAGTCAACCAGTTACAAGGATGAAAGCACCACTTCACTATCTTCATGGTTATCAGTATTCATGATAAACTTCTCTGCAATCCAAAAGTAGTCGTTGTTTAGATGTCCAACGTGCAGTGTGACCATTTGTTCACTGGTTCGTTCACAGCTTACAACACCCGTGAAAGAATTACTCCAAGGCCAACAACAAAAACCCAACGATGCTGCCTACTAAAGCAGCAAAACTTTTGACAGCGCACCAGAGGATGTAGCAAAGCATAATATTGATATTACGATGACTTTTTTTTCAGGCACTACATTTCAAATTTCTGTGGCCTTAAGAACTTGCCTCAACACACTTCCTCAAAGAAATTGCCTCATAGTGCATAGAGAATATGCATATTTCACTCCAGCTCACTTTTCACCTCTTAAAAATATTCTTGCACTGAACATACGTCCAATGACACTTAACAAAAAAAAGTTCAGGTATTAGGCAGGTTTACACAAGGGGAACAAAGGAGTTGCACTAAACAAGTCTGCATTAGTGCTGCTATTATTATTAGTTGCTAATGAGCATTTCTCTGAATACTATACAAATCACAAAATTTTGTACACTACACCTACCTCTAAAACCTTGAAGAGCCCCTGTTCTTTGTCCCCAAAGTACGCAGTCAGCCATGGTAGAAATGCAACCTCCTTAGCATTCTTGTAGGCCTTTGAAAGCTCCCGTTCTGTCTCAATCACCCATGCCATGACATCCTTCTTGACTATACTTTTCATGTGCTCGAACATCAACGGTGCGTAATCTTGCAATGAGGCCCCAAAAGCATCCTAGAATACAAAAAAAAGGCTGCGAAATAAATACCTTCAAAATTATGTCCTGTGACACAGACAGTAACCGTCTCATATACTCTACACTGATGAAAAAACTAGCATTTTTTATATTCACTTTGCAAACTTCGATATGTTGCAGCCTTCCTAGACTGAAATGCATTCAGAACCCTTTACAAGAGAGACTAATGTAACAGACATTTCAGTGTACATGACACCGGTGTGCCTGTATTAAAATAAGTATTACGAAAATGAATGTGTCAAAGAGACATACCTATAAAAGACAAGAATTACTACCTGGCACATCTTTATTATATAGGGATTCATCTGTACAGTACAGGATGATATGCAAGAATGGCTTTGTACCTAAATTTTATGCATACAAATGTTTTGAAAGGCCTTTTCAAATTCAGCACCTTCCACTGCAGAGTGCATGACAAAGACGCTAATATCAAGTCTGTAACAGGCAAAACCGAAGAATTACTTTTGGAAAGCTAGTGAGAAAAATAAGCAATCAGCAACAGTCTGCAATATATGCAATAAACTGATAAAACAAGGACATCTCAGTAATGAAAACACTTGGTCAGTATCCAATGAGAGCAGATTACTAACTACCAGAATCCAAAGTTTTCCTAAAGAAAATACGTCCTGCCCCATTCAATTACAGAAACTGTGATCCTAACCTGAAAACTTTGAAGCTTTTATCCAAAGGTCTTCAATAGTTGTCGATTCTGACATGGGATGCTTCAAAGTGGACAGGCAAGCTCAATATTTATATGTAAGCAGAAGCCTCCGCTAAAGTAAAACACAAGTTTAAAATATAGACATAAGTCGAGCCCGCTTATAACAAGCCTGAGCCTGACGCGGCATGCGTTCGCGGTATCCCGAAGTTCGCAGTAAATGGAACACAGTTTTTTTAAAAAAAGTTGCAAGTGAAAACACAATTTTTTTTTGCCCAAAATAGTCCGTGATGCACGCGTTTCGAAGAGTACAAGCGATAAGGGTGGTATTTAGTTTATTTCAAACGGCGGTGTACTCTTCGCCGAGGCCCGTAGCATAAGCTGTATGAGGCACTGGCTCCAAAGTTTTGTCGTTCTCGCAATCCGATTCCTCCAAAACGCTCTTGCCGCGTACTCAATTCACAATGCCCTTATCCGTGCACAGTTCCACGGTGTCGGCATCATCATCGGCTGTAATTAAACCATCGCAACAGATGTTCCACCCTCTCTGCAAGGTCGGAGTCGAAGACGCGTTGCCACAAATCGCCGCCGGAGTGGTCCTGTTCGGAAGCTTCAGGCTCGGCGTCGGGCCCGATGTCGACGAAGCCGGCCTCACGAAACAGTTTCACGCACATGTAGCCGTCACCGCCGCCCACGAAATATTCACCATCTCCACAGTTGAATACCAGGTGGTCAAAAACTATGAGCAAGCGCTGCGCAACCCGGCACTTAACGCACATATTTCATCAAGCGAAGCGGTAACACTTTTGACGTTTCGTTGAGCGGCAGGAAAAAGCGTGCAAGTCCCCCCGTCCGCCATCCTGACCACACACGCACATCGAGAGCGAGCAAGACGCGCACAAGCAACACAAGCGCCAGAACGCGTGGTACATCTCTGGGCCTGTTTCTACTCAGAAAACAAAACTTCGAGGCAGCGTGGCTTGTGTCGCGGAGCGGTGGAGACGGGCGAAGGAGTTGTGATCAAGAGAGGAGAGCAGATTTGCGAGAGAAGGGCAAGGAGCTGCGATAGAGTGATGAGAGGGGAGGATACGACAGGAAGGCGACCTTGAAAACCAAAACACGCGGGAAGGAGGCGGGTCGGACAGCTTACTCGAAAGTTCCACGGCGCGCGCGGTGGGGTTAAAAAAAAATCAGCGGCTGTGGTCAAGGAATCCTTTTGTTGCGCCGGCGGGTTTGCGGGACCTTACCGACTTCGATATTTCGCGATTCATTCCACGCAAGTTAACAGCCGTTTTTACGCTTCCGCGCGCGTGCGGACGGCATGCTGAGTCGAGTGCGAAGTGAGCGAGAACAGGTCCTAAACATGAAAAGAATCGCGAATCATAAGAGTGCAGTAGTGTAGCATACGTGCGTGCACTAGAACAATATAATAAGACAAGACGCAGACGATCGGATGCTGACAATGTTGGTGAATGGTCTGGTCACTACAGGTCGGCGACGTCAACGACAGTACCAGCCATCAAAAACAGAGGAGATGGCCAACCGGTCTTCCAAAGATGTGTGGCAGCGTGACAACACGGGCCGCGTCAAATGCGGGGTGCTTAGAGTAGCCGGGGGACAAAAGACGGAAGGGCGGGTAACAAAGAGCGCCAGCTAGAGGGGCGCGAAGGCAGGGTTGGCGTTTAACAATAAGAATCTATGGACACCTCGCCGATGCCTTATCCATAGTCAAAAGTGGTTTCCCGGGAAGCCGACAGAGCGCCGACTAGGTTCGCTGTAACCGATCGCGAGCCGATAGTTATAGGGGGTATTCACAGCGCGCGGTGCGTTCTCAGTCAGGCAGCGGAGCACGGGAAACACGTTGACGGGAGCGCTCAGCAAACTTATCGTGGTAGCGTATTCTAACACTACGTGCGACAATGGTTTACTGTGCGATAGTCGGTTGCTCCAGCCGTACGCAGAGCAAACAGATGAAAATTGAAAGCAGCAGCAGAGATCCAGGCTTCTTCAAAGTCCCGAAAGTGCGCACAAGGGAGTGCGAGATGACAAGGTTCCTGTCGGAAAAGCGTCGTCACGAGTGGATCGCCCGGATCAACTGGCTGGTAACGACTGACCCCGATAAGTACCGAGTGTGTTCGGTTTCGCGTACGTGCGGCGGCATCCAGCTGTTGGCGACAACTGTGCACGAGTCGCCGTCTCGCGCGCGCACGCCGTACTCCAAGTAAAACAGCAGGGCCGCCACATGAGAACAGGTCTCGCCGTTGCCGGCCATACATAAGCAACGGGCTGCGACTACTTCGCCATCGCTTTTGGAAAAAATCCATGCCTTGACAGGAGGAGCTGACAGGCTCTGTGAGTGGTTTACCTGCGTACAAAATAAAACAGCGAGGAAATAAAATTAACGCCCTTCGCGACTGGCTGCATACAACACAGAGGCGAAAAAATCAAAATTCAGCTACTCGTGGCCGCGTAGTAAAAAAAACTAGATATTCAGCAAGTTGGTTACTTTAACAAGTAGGTAAAAATGTGACAAAATCTGGCAATTCGACAACGAGCGCTCACTTGAGTGATTACGATGACGGCGTCCGCATTGACTTGTGTCAGCATGTAGCCCCTGCACACAGCCGCCGGTCACGTAATTGTGGCCCTCCATAGATTTATACGCCTTCAGCTGCTTTTGACTCGCGAAACTTGTCCTCAAAACAAGAAAATCCATGATGTCACATCTGTCCACGCGTGGCCAAAGGTAGAAGTTTGCAACATAACGCACGCCGGAAGAGAAGGGGTCCACGCCACACAGTTCAATTTTTCTTCATAGCGCTGCCTGTTAGAGCCGCACAATGTACTCATACGAAGCGTCGCATTGTGTCACCATCTCACTCACGTAATTGACGCACGAAGAGCCGAAAAGACAAAAGAATCAGCCACAATGTTAACACGGCGTTGATGACTGAACCACTGTCGCCGCCATAGTCGCTGCCAGAGCCACCGATCCAAGGACGCCAAAATGGCGGAGAACAGTATGTGACGTCCGTGGTGACCTCACATGAATACCCCCTATAGCGCGAGAACAAAACGACGACACAGAGACAAGAAGGACACGAAAGACACGAGCGCTAACTTCCAACTGAGTTTTTTGCGCAGAGCACGTAGGGGAGACAGTGTTGTGCCACGGACATGTTCCTCGTTCGGAAGCACGTCTCACGGGATCGAGCCCTGTTCCGACGAACTCTCTCCCCACCTCCCAGCGCCGCCTTCCGTGCAGAAGAACCGTGCAGTTCCGGGGATAACGTCGCTTCCTCCGCCGAACCACTTTGCAGTTCCGGGTACGGCTGCGTCTCCTCAGCCGAGCCACTGTGCTGTTCCAGAGAACTGGTCTGAGAGAATGGACCAAAGACGCTATTTAAGGCGGAGCCGGCCCCATGTTAGAAGATTTTGCCCCAGCCGACGTTGTCGTGCTGGCTGGCTCTGTACAAACGACAACCTGCTACAGTAAACGCTACTGTTGTTGCTGTTTTCAAAACGGATTGCCTCCCTGCTTCGCCTTCGGGCTAAGGCTTCAGCGAAGTCCACTCGGCTGCTCACCGCTCTTCGCCATAGCTACCAGCGCGACAGAGCAAATTCATAACAACAGTAACCATGTGATAAAAACCATATGGCACAAAGAGCAGAACATGAGTTAGAGAAAAAACAAAAACAAAAACGAAAGCACAGAATAACGGCAAAGACAGAAAAGTAAAGATAATATAACTACTTGCGCGCACCGAAACCTTCGAGGAACCCGAGTTCCTTCTCGGACAGAGCCACGGGGGGTTTGCTAATACAAGGCACCTGTTCGCGTGCCATCTGCGCGGCCTCGACGATAACTCGGGTGCGCTTATCTCTGTGCTTGTACAGCGTCGCTGTGTCCTTGAAAAGAGACACACAATTGCACTCAGTGCAGTGCTGAGCAAGAAAACCATCTTTCCCGTTTCTAAAATTGTTAGCGTGTTCTCTGAGCCGATCGTTCAGACACCTTCCAGTCGTTCCGACATAACAAGCACCGCATGAGAGGGGGTCCTGTAAACAACTTTCGGGAGCAGGCAGCATACCTGTTTCTATATGTTGAACTCTGCATTCCGTTGATGACTGCGTTTTCAGGGGGTTTGTAGATTTGGCGAGGCTGATTATTTCAACGGTGCCGAGAACAGGACACGAACTCCAACACGTTTTCCGATTTTCTTGAGCCTGTGTGTGATATCTGGTGTTTGTATGGAATCACGGCTATCCTTTCCCGTTCTGTATCCGTGTTGCTCGGATTCTGTAGCTGCCTTTGCTCTGCCTTATTAGTCCGGAGGATAGTCTCAGCAACAGAAGCGATAAACGCCTCGGGGAAACCCGAAGCCTTAAGCCGGGAAACTTGAGCTTTGAAGCTCGCAGAGATAATGTGGGTGCATGACATATTTAAGGCATTCTTAAGACAGGTTCGTGCTATGTCTCGCTTAACTAACTGCTGTGAGCGGAAGAAAAAGGAAGTAGAGGTTTGTGCGCACGTGGCTCATAACACCAACAGATGTGCTGTGAGCTAAAAACCAGTCTTAAATACAAAAAGCGTAACTTGTCCTTCTCGGGCATTTCTTGTGTCAACAAAAAAGGCTTTAAACAATCTTCGAACACACCTATCGTTTGAGTCGCAAACGAGTGGAACATAGAAGAATTACAATTTAGATGAACCAAGAAATCATCCACGCATCTGAATACTTTGACGACATGCGAGCCTTCTAACTTTTCCAGCAGTTTTTTGCTCATTTTTGCCAATAGAAGGTCACTGAGTAGAGGTGCTATGCATGAGCCTATTGAAACACCCTTTTTCTGCAGATAAATACAATGATTTCATTGAACGAAAGTGGAGGTAAGGTACAGCAAAACCAGGTCAAGAAAATCTCGCGCACTGATGCCAGTTTTTAATTGGAAGTTCAATTCCCCGAAAATTTCTATATCCCTTATACATTCTGATACCTCATCGTGAGGCAGAGAGTAGTATAGGTCCTTTATGTCAATTGAAAAATTGAAAAGATTAGATTGATTTGACTGTTTGAAAAATTCTATCAGAGCCTGCGAGTTTTTGATTAAAAATGGGTCATCAATCTTTAGACACTTTAGATGGGTCTGAATAAACAAGCCGAGTTGCTTTTGCCACGTACCACTGCCACGTAACACTCTCTGTCAGAATGACACGGAAGGGCATGTCAACCTTATGTGTTTTGGCTGAAAAAAACATGCTCAGCCCATTTTTGTCACTTTTGCTTGTATGTTGTGCTAACTGTTTTAACTCTAGTTTACGACACATTTCCTTGGCATGCGTTTTTACTCTTTCTAGACGAATGTCAGTACAACATTTGAAAACAGAGTCGATAGCTGTGACTACCTTTTTTAGGTACAAGCAATTAGGAAGAACGGCGAAACCACCCTCCTTATCTGACGGCACGGCACAAAGTTCATTGTCTCTAAGACAACTTGGTTGTCTTCCCCACCGGAAGGCTGTTGCTGGTAGGCTTACCCCGTAGGAGCACGTCGACGCCTTCTGAGATGCACCTGTCCGAATCTTCTGGTGAAGTGCGGCCAGCAACAGAGCACACCATTGAAAGAAGCTCAGGTGCGGACCTCTCTCGGTCGACGGCGAACTTCGGACCTAGGGCGAGGGTGTTGTGGGCGTAGTCTGGGAGGACGATGTCACTGCATGAGTGGAGGACACCTGATTGCCGGGGCTTGGTTGGACGCTGCGCTCGAAGACTAGTGAGCTCACGTGCCCACAGGCAGTTTGCAGTGTATTCGATCCGGTCGCAGTACTCTCGCCATCTTCTTTTCTTCACTCCCGATGTTAGATCTGTTTGTCTAAGCTGGACATGCAGGGTGTCCCGGTACGTGCGCTCTTGTCGGTGCCATTCAGATCAAAGAATTTTGCACACCCGTATGCCATGGTCGATAGAGGGGTGGTAACCTCCAAACAAGGCTTTAACGTCCAAAGGGAGCTGCTTGGTGCGAATGCAGAAGGAAAAGGTGCGCGCACGGCAAATGAAGACTGCGATGAGGGTTACGAGGACTGAATGATGAAGAGAAACACATAAAAAAGAGCCCGAATAACCAGAAATGTAACTTAGAAGTGTGGCAGCTTGGGCTAGTTGGTATGGAATGACGATAGTTATAGCGTGAGAACAAAAACGACGACACAGAGACAAGAAGGACTCGAAAGACACGAGCGCTAACTTCCAACTGAGTTTATTGCGCAGAGCACGAAAATATATAGAGACAGTAACCATGTGATAAAAACCATGCATATGGCACAAAGAGCAGAACTTGAGTGAGAGAAAAACAAAAACAAAAAAACAAAAACAAAAGCACAGAAAAACGGCAAAGAAAAATCTATAAGAAAACGAAACAGAAAAGTAAAGATAATATAACTACTTTCGCACACCGAAACCTTCGAGGAACCTGAGTTCCTTGTCGGACAGAGCCACGGAGGGCGAGTGGGGCGAGTACTGAGATTTTCCAATTTTCGTGGCACATGTGCACTATTGAATGCAGCAGAGGACAGCAACCTGCAGTCCGTAGGCCGTATGCAGTTCACTAGGCTGAATTATGCGGCCCCTGGCACACGCTCGTAACACCACCCCTAAGTAGCCGAATACCACCTCCGCAACTTACAGTACCAGACAGCTTTTTTTCCTCTCCTGGTAACTTATGTTTATGAATTGTGACATTATGGTATGCATGCTGAGAACGAACAGAATTTTTATAGTTATTTACATAACTATTTCTAATTAAAGTTTTATATTCTTGCCTACCTCACCCCCCCCCGGGGGGGGGGGAATTGCTGAGCAACATGTGCCCAATTGGCTTCATGCAAATCAGCTTTCCATCTGAAAAGGTTGCCAACTGCCAACCCTAGGGATAGTGCAAGCACAGCCATGAATAGTGCAGTATAGCACACAGCATAGCAAGGGGTGTTGAGAGGGGAAAAGTCCAGCCAAGCCATGATGAGCCAGGTGGCCAACAGCTCTGCTGTCACAACCTTGCAAGAAGCGCTATTTTTTTTTTACCCGAAAACTTCCTCTGGAATGCTCATAATGCCAGTGATGTGAGGAAATTTTCTGCACAGCAGCTATACACAAACTCGAGCTAGTAAACATCTGAAAGAATTACAGCTCCTCACGGTATAAAGTGCCCCAGGTATATATCGAAAGCTTTGTTTGCTTGCTTGATCACAATTATGATGCGCTCGGGGTTATCATTTCAGTTTTACAATTGCACAGTTTGGGCCTCGTCACATATGCTTGGTGCAATTTTTTAACTAAAATGCTGTTCAATGGTGGCAAAGCAAAAAAAAACAAACAACACGCTGCTGGTTGCTTTGCTGCTGCATTAGTAACTGCCAAGCAGAAGTTTAGTGTAACGGTCTAAAGACGATGCCCGAACACTTTGGTCAGAAAATAAAAGCTATCAAAATGCTGCACAAGTGAAGTTTTCACCTTTGCGTTGCTTGAGTTGCACATCCCGTTTTCCTCTGCTTTCTGAATAAAATCTCCCATTGTTTCAGCGGTGATCATCTTTTTTATTGAGTGATCCGCACTTCATATCTTTAAGACAGGCATGATTGATTACCTGCAATAACAAAGCATGTTCATCTTCACTGCCCAGAACATTGTACCCTAATTAACCTACAAAACTACCTTAAGAGGCCGCTAGGCTGGTTTAATAAAGGGGGATCTGCATCATAATTTTATGAAGAATACATCACTTCAGACAAAAACAAAAACCTTATAACTGACATATTCCGTTTGCGCACATTGAAGCACTGTTGGCCTTTGAATTGTATAAAGAAAATGATATTCAACTACCGATGAGCCTTTTGACAAGCTCTTCTCCTGAAAGCAGCAAATACTTTTTATTGCAAAATATAGCACCTTCAGAAACACCTACGACTGAAATAGCACTAACCAAAAAAAAAAAAAGGAGGGAAGGGGGGTTCACCTATTTCTTGAAGCTTCAGCATTAACTCTTCCTGTTTTTTCAGAAGAGAATGCTGCCAACTAGCCAAGCTGTTGACCTTGCTAGAATGACAGAACTGTCGGGCTGAACCTTTAACACCTCTCCACAACCCCCCCCCCCCTTTTTTTTGTCCTATTCAAAAAATGTGTAAAAATTTTTGACAAAGTGTGACATGTTATTGCACGTGTGACAAAAGGATGATAATAAGACCATGAACATACTGTCACATTCTATTTTAAGTTCCTTTTATAGCATGCACACAAACAGTGGGGAAATTTCCTTTGATGTGATTGAGAATGTCCATAAGGTTATCAATATACAAAAACTTCCACAGTAGTCTTTTATTTTTTGGTGGCAGCTGGTTTTCCTTTTTTGAAAAGGAATTTTATACTTTTCATATGTTAAAGTGTTTCCCTAGGGCCTGCCTAACCTAGAGCAAATTTAATTTTGGTTTGTAATTTCTATGTGCCAGCAGATGCCAGATTGTGGTATTGGTCTATGCAGTAAAATTAGGCTATATTATATTCGGCTGATGCATATGTTGTTACCTCTCAAATAGAAAAATATTCTGTTGGGTTGTTTTTGTAGCAAACATTACGCATAGGCCGTTTTTCTAGTGTTTTTATAGTTTCTTTCCCATCAAGATGAAGCATTACCGACTGCTAAAGAGTGAAATATTTAATGACATGTCATTTACTATTATAGGCAGAAACTCGTGCACATTGTTACTTCATTTTTTTACTTTGAATGTAACATTGGGTGCCCTAAAGTTCTGTAATGTGAATTTGACGTATGCACAGAGAATACATAACAATTCACACGTTAAAGTAATATGTGTCTGCCTGGTTAGGTCTAGTATTTGCAAAGAAAGAAGTGTTGTGTCACACTGAGGCTTTTCTTTTGAGTTATGCTACCAAAGTGCAAACACCTAGTGAATAACTAAAGAGCTCACTCACTTGATGTGCACACTTCTTCCCGTGCTCACTGGGTGCTCTGGAATCGTTTAAAGAAGGTATAATCAAAAACATTGATTGTATACGATATTTACAGCAATAAAAAATTGTGAAATATAGTGCCGACTTTCGAAATCATGAAGACCTGAACTGGCCTAAGCTTGTAATGCTGCAAAACCAAGCTTCATTTCTTGGCAAAACACCCCACTTTATCCGAATTGCATCCCCCCCCCCCCTTACAGCTGCAAACCACAATGTGTCGTAACTTACACATAATAAACAGTGTAACGCTTTTACAAGAAAGCCTTTATTGCTGCAAGAACAAGCTGCAAGAAAGCCGCAATACTCTAAGAAAAGAAGGAAAAAAGACTACACTTACTTACTCACAAATCACACACACACGTTTAAACAGTCCATTGCACTATAAACATACTCACTGCATTTTTACCTTCTAGTAACTCCTGGCAACTAAACATGTGCACCACAAATTTTAAACAGTTAGAAAAGCATGTGCAGCAAATAATTATGCACAGGAAGAAACTATGTGCTCAGCACAACCTTTCAGGAAAGGAAGACTTAAGTGTAATGACAGGCTTGCCATTATAGACATACGGCTCATACAGCATACAATTAAGGAGACTTGATGCCTGCACTAACAGCGATTTATTGTTTTGTTCCTGCAACATATACAAGCAAAGACTTGGTTACATATATGCGGATTTGCACTGAACAAGAAACAGAAACCTGTCTTCACGCTCGAACTTGCCAACTATGCAACCAGAAGTTGCCTCATAACGTGTCCCAGAAATAAGAATATGGTCACCGCAGGTCTATGCAAAGCCAATTATTGTTGTCTTTTTCAATGCTATGCCCTCTGGCAAGGCTATTTTGCCCACTTTGGACAGCATAGATGACTGCTCCAAGGTGTTCATATATGTGAACTCCTCAGGCTGCAAAGCAAGCGAGCCTTTGGCAGCCTGGAAGGCTTCACACAATTGGTGACGTTCACTGAGAGTTTTGGTAATGTTCCTAAAGGTCCTCGCACTACGTGTACATCCTTTGGATAAGTTCACTGTAATGCACCATGTAATGATGCTTTGGCGTAATCTTGTGAAGAGGAAACAGGGAACTCCTAGAAGTGATGTAATCCTCAGTCAGTACTTTAAGGTGAGCAACTTGGACAGGTGTAATCTTTGGTGCCATAAGAAGGTCCACAATGTTGGCCAGTAAAATCACAAGTTGCCAGATGGCATCAGTAACATTTACAATCTTTGTGCCCACATAGATTGGCAAGAGTCTCAAAAAAGTACAGTTTTGGACTGCATGGCCTCCCAACCTATCAACCGGAATGGTGGGCACTTTTGGTGGTTTGTTGCATGAACCGCTCGTACAGTACTTCATGGTTGCAATTCTGTTATTCAGGTACTTGTATGTGAACCACCTTTTGTTTTTCACGAAATAGTTAATGCACAAGGCCAAGTCATGACGAACGACTTCTTTAAATAAGTCATGTGCTATGCATGGTGGGAGGCCAGAGTTACACGCATGAAAATGTTTCAATACATGAAGTGGAGAAACATTTACAATACCACAATCCCTGGACCCAATGCCTGCATTTCAAAGACGTTTAAGCGATTTATTGTAGCTTTCTACAGTACGTCTTGCAACTATTGCATGAGGCGTCTGCTCAAACTCGCACCGTGTAATTAAGCAATACCGACAGAAGTAAACAGAAGAGTTGAAGTTCTGTGTGAACCCTCCAACAGCATGGCTGGCAAGGTTGTCAGGTTGTCAGCTATTACAAAGTTTAGCCTGACGGCATGCTGAGTATTGGTAATTGTCACTCCTTACTTATCTAAAAGAACCATGTCATCTGTCAGGGGCTGAAGCACTTCACCTAAGCTAAATTCTCCCGCATCTTTTTGGCGGCAGAGCATAACCAGCTGAATGTTGTCAACACGTGACCTGTAGTACAATGGCAAGTTGTTGAGTGTCATGTAGACTGCAAGAAGTTTAAGATTTCTTTTTGAAGAGCCCAAAGGATTCACAATCTCAAATTCACCAAGGTACAAAATAATACCAATTTGGTTTTCAGCAATGTTCCTGATTGAATGAACTGATAGAATGTCGTCACAGACGGCTTCATCAACAATGTTGTTGCTACCAAAGGGGAAAAAGGACATCAAAAAGTGAAGAAGATTTTCAATAGGAACACAGTGATACACACACATTTGGTTTAGTTTGTTAAGTCATAATGAAAGCCCCACTGGTTCGAGGTAGCAAAACCTTTCTCAGTAATATTTGTGACGACAGTAGGTTGATCTCCATGTATTAGATGCCGCGACTTCCACATATTTTTCAAAACACACTTCAACATCAGGTAGCGAGTCACTTGATACCTTCATTGCAATCTGTTGCAGAAGCATGTTTTTACTTACACTGTGCAAATATTGTATCTTTTTCACAATGTTTTGAACAGTTCTAGCAGGCAAGTGATGCTGTGATTCTAACTTCAGTAAAAAGAGTGAAATTATCAATGAACAGGTCATTATTTCTCTCACTACATATTATGCGTGCAGCACCACCAACATCGTCACTTTCGGAAGCACACGGAGGAGAATCTGGCTCTACTTCCATTGTTCCGTCAGAAACTTGCGAGCACTGTGCCCCTTCAGTGCCACGACAACCTGTAGAAACTTCATTTTTAGGCAATGGCTGCAGAATTTCGGAACCTGGTTCCGTAGCTCCTCCTGTAGGCCCAGAGCACACTAACACACTGTTTTCTTTGCGATGATACCTGCTTACATGTGTTTTGAATGATGCAGCAGAAGTTGACACACTTACACAATTAGCAAAAGGACAGGTAACAGTAGTCACGTCGCCATGAAAGTGCTCAGTAGCATGTAAAACAAGTTCTGACCGTGTAAAAAAGAGTTTTCTTGCACGATTTCATTAGGCACAACAGTCCCACAGACTCCTTTTCATGGCTGACTGGTTTGTGGTGTCTTAAAACGTGACATCGTAAACTTGAGTAGCTTTTAAAAACAACGCAACATGACTCAGAGGGGCAAAGGGCTCCAATAGCAATGCTGCTATGGAAACGAAAATGGTCGAAGTATGCCACTAAAGACCGAGTTAAGGTGTTCTGCACAGAGCCGACAGGTGGCGGCCATTCCTACTCAGGCATGTCAAGCTTTTCAGTCTGGATATTGCCCACATCAGCTGCATTACAGAAAAGTGCTAATCAGAGAAAAACACAAAAAATACCAATATGCATACCAATTTGTTGTGACCAAATACAACATTTGGCTACCACTCTAAAAAACAAGTACAAGTGAGAAATCAAGGCTCAGGGGGGACCACAATAAAAAAAAAAGAGGGGGGAGCGGGTGCATAGAAACCGATTTCAATGTTTCAAAGTTTCTTTTCCTACACAAAACTTGTGCACAAACTACTTTTTTTTTGTCTATCGAAGAACACCATACAGTCGTGCCATAGTCGTTTTAGAAGTCTTACTAAACAACGGAAGTGTAAGGTGTGATGACGCAACAGACGGGGAGAGTACACACACACAATGTTAATTATGCTAAGCCAATCTGACTAGTCTGCTCTTTTTACATACTTCTAAACAAATCATGGTCTAGTGCTATTATGTAAGTAAACTATGAGAGAAAAAGAGTGCAGTATCAAAGAGGAAGGGGGTGGTAAAAGGAAGTCATCTGTCGAGAAATTAGCATCCACAGCACGAAGCACCAGGTGGGTGTACCTCTCAGGAAAAGCAATGGTTGCAAGACAGCACTGGAAATTGAACCCAGCAATTTCCGTATTAGATGCAGACACTATAACTACTCGACATGATTACCCAGCTTAAATACATAGAGTTCATTGAGAACTCCACAACACAGGCACCGAGTGTTTTTTTTTTGCTGTGCTAACTCCATATGCACTGTACAATCATGTCGACATTGAACCACTCACTTACCGAAACCAATACCTTACTAGGTATACTTCATCACCACAGCTTCCCGCAAATAACCTAAGCCACAGACTAACCGAACAAACCATTGTTCCCTTTCAACACTCGCTTAATCAATGCCTTCTGTTTTCCGACTTTTTCACAACACCACAACACAGATCCTCCTCTCATTTCTCCATTTCCAGGGGACCCAAGCGGGGTCCGCGAAGCCATTTTCGGGGATCCGTAAAATATATCTTCCACTTTTGATATTTGATATTTTTCACCGCAAAACAATTATGCCTTGCGAAAAGGCTGATCTATGCTTTCGTTTTGTCACGAGATGATTTGAAGCTTTTGTTGCAGTTATCCACAACATATATTCTTTTTTCCGAGCTTGCATGTTCGAAGAGCAATTATAGTTCGAAACTGGGGGAATGTGGCTGCAGACCGCAAAACTTACTGAGAAGTTGTTGAGGTCGAATGAGCGTAACACCTTATTCTGATCATTTCTTTTTTCACCAGGAAAAACAAGGGGCCCCTATTTCACACAGCATGTCATGTTAATTTTTTTATCCACCCCCCTGCTTTTCTAATCCTTCTATTTACTGCAAGGAGTCTCATCACTTCCACCAATTAACACGGGATCTGCAGCGGATTCCCGCCTATGCATTAAATAGACGCCGCGCTTTATCCGTACCCAAGTAAAAGTAGAACTTAATTTCTCTTTGTGCTTCTAAGATACCGTTTGTTCACTTCATATATATTATAAGTATGATTTACACTAGTGATCATACAGCCGCTGTCGACTTTGAAGAAGCTTATTGCGTTTTCACGACACTTGGAAATTTTCAACTACCTTTACTGAACAACACCAAGATAGAAGTAAAAACAAGTCTTACCTACGTGTACGTTTGCCACGCGAACTTCACCGAGGAAGCTTTTAAATCACCGCCAGAGATGCCTGCGAGAATTAACGTAAAGGCCTATGACCATGCAGCTACCGTCTATTGGGTGCCATGTTTTCTGGAACACAATACTTCGTATTCCAATTTGTATTACGCGGTGCAGGCGCGAAATACAGCGTAAATGTACAACAATGGAAAAACATTGAACATAAATCAACAACTACAAACATGGCGCACATCCGAATCACTACACGCGATTTCCAGTGCGGCATTTTAAGTGAGAACTCCACCTCAAAACTCCATGTAAGTGCAACGCTACCACCAATATCAGAATTATTATAATAACCCAGGGGTGAGACAGCTGAGACTAAATTGGGAGCAGTTTTTAGAGAAGCGAAATTTCACTTTTTTGAGCGAGAGAATCTTGTTTGGGAGCAGTTAGCGACATTTAATATGTCGTATCGGGAGTTTGAAAATACAAATTTTCAGTTATGTGGGGGCACCAGTGCATATTTTAGTTGCCTTATAATGCACGTAACAGTGACAGAGATCTTGAAGGAAGATTTTAAACAGATTATCACCAGATATGAACCGCACTACCTTTTTACATACCAGGTGCCTTATCTGGCCTTCGTAAGAAATATGCAAAATAATATTTATTAAAAAAGGCTTTGTTAAAAACTAGGTTCCCCGGAAACAATAAAAAAAAACTCACCACACTAAAAAAAACGGAATTGCACAAGAATCTTAGTTACATAACAACGGCTATTCGCTTAAAGAAAAGGCTGACATAGCTTCGAGAGCCCTTAAACAGACAACGAAAGCACGCTGCACCGCCGTTCGCGGCCACCTCGTAAGGGACCACCTTCAAGATTGCAGCGCAAGAGCACACCTCGCCGCACCGACTATATCCAAAGCGCGTGGGTATGACACCAAGCGAATAATACCGATGACGCCTCTCCATGCGAGCAACCAATAATACGGCATATGTTGACCAGTTTTTTTATTATTATTGTAGGTAATCAAACTGCTAAGAAGTGCTTCACTAGCAGACCAACTTCGGGCTGTCCAGGAGGCCCGCCAGGCAGCGGAGAGTTTCGGGCTCTCTGTCCCGACGTGGGAGATGCCCTCTACACCTGGCGTCTAGCTGAGTGTCCTTCAGGACCCCTTTTTTTTTGAGGGGGGGGGGGGGCAATAAAGTTCCACCACCACCGTCGATGTAGAACGCCCGATAATACATAGATTTGCGATTGCCGTTCCGCGACTCGCTAAAAGCGCTCGAGCGGCGCCGATAAAAAAATCCGTGTCCATGCAAACGAACCGCCGAGTATACAGAAGCCGGTTTTATTGCATTAGAAGAAAAAAAAAAGAAAACGAAGACGCACTGCCACGGACCGAAACACCAGTCGAGATAAGCCTAAAAGCATAGTCCAGAGCTGGCACGCATGCAGCGACGCCTCTTAACGGGCACGTTGAGAGTTTAGAGAGCAGTGGCAAATCATGAAAAGTGTGCCACATGATCGCCGATGTTTCACGAGTCCCGAATAAAGCGCCGAGGTGCCCGTTAATATCAATTAAAATGGTGTGAACGCGCGTTCTGTCACCAGGGCTTCGCAAATAACCAAGTGTTTCTACCTGCAGACACCTAAACGCGGAATTCACGTCCGATGGCTTTTTTAAATGCAAAATGCAATGAGAACTCACTTCTCTAAATAAGTTAGACGCTATTGGGCGTAAACCGGGAATGGGGGCTGCACGCGTTCTGTTGCTCATGGAACCCCTTTTCAGAACACATGCATGTGCACGTGCCAGAGCATCCGGAGACGCGTCGCATGCTGGGAAATAATTCCACGCTTACAATTACTCCCTCACGGCAAATTCACACGCGTAGGTGACCACACGTACGCAGCAGCATCGATATGAAAACCGCAGCGAACGAAGGAACGCACAACAAAGAACCTGTGAGTCAACCCCACTACGCTCGCCACTCGTCTCAGTGGGTTTCACAAGGCGACAGTGGCACCAGAACACACAGCCTAGCCAGTAGAAGCGGCACATTTGATGCACGGCAGCACAATTTTTCGGGGTCACGTACATTAATCAGTTTGATTGATATGTGGTGTTTAACGTCCCAAAAGCACCATATGATTATGAGAGACGCCGTAGTGGAGGGCTCCGGAAATTTGGACCACCTGGGGTTCTTTAACGTGCACCCAAATGTGAGCACACGGGTCTACAACATTTCCGCCTCCATCAGAAATGCAGCCACTGCAGCCGGAATTTGATCCCGCATCCTGCAGGTCAGCAGCCGAGTACCTTAGCCACTAGACCACCGAGGCGGGGCTATTAATCAGTTTAGGGGAGAATATGGAGGCACCGTGGGAGAAGCCTTCGTCACCAGAAAAGTGCGAAGTGCAGAAAAAAAAACCGCGATTGGCCTGTATTACTAGTCAACTCGGCTTTTTTTTTTTTTATCACTGAAGCTGAGGTTGGCATCAAAACTTTAGCTTTCGAGGCTGCTTTGAAGCAGTTCGGCGCGATTTTCGCGATTTTTATGCTTTTGGAGCAGCTTGGCGCAAGAAAACAGAAATGTATCGAAAATGCGCAATATGCTCAGCTGTCTCATCCCTTATTAACATTTATAGGTGCGGAGACCCAAGCGTACAAAAGAAAAAGACTGGCCAGATCCCACTGTGCTAGTTTCCCACATGTTCTCGGTGCAACGTTAGCCTTTATCTCTTATTCTAAGCGTGCGTGGGTGACAACACACTCATTTTAGCGGCAGAAGCTATCACTACACAGGCAACAAGTTGAAAATAGTCGATCACTCACCTAAGATACGCTGACACACGCCGAGCCGGTGTGAACAAAGCAGGTTGGTGTCCGATCGAGCAGCTTCACAGAACACATCGTCAACGCGATGATACGTGATTATATACCTATCGACAGTAGACGGTGCGGCGATTGGTGATTGTGGAGCGCCCTCTCCAGTTTACATGAAGAATGAAAAGCTCTAAACTGCTCTTCAGCGCGAGATTTAGATTTGTACAGCAATTAACATTTGCAACATAGCGATGGATATCAAATGACAAGCTCCATGCATGCATGTCGCGGCCGCATGCAGAGAAAATTGCACGAACCTTATTCTGTGTACGGAGGGCTCATTTGTATTGAAATAATCTGTTTGCTTCTATTTTCGCCATGGTGGAGGGAGCGTCCATATGTCAATCTATGGAGCCACGTTTTATCTATATACAAAGGCATCACTGTTGTTGTAATAGTATGCTTGCTGACATACTTTGCAATGACAGAGGAAGCACCCGTATGTTCAGCTATGGAATGACGATAGTTATAGCGCGAGAACAACACGACGACACATAGACAAGATGGACAGAAAGTACACGAGCGCTATGTGTCTTTCGTGTCCTTCTTGTCTCTGTGTCGTCGTTTTCTTCTCGCGCTATAACTATCGTCATGCCATACCAACTAGCCCAAACTGCCACACTTCTCAGCTATGGAGACTAATTTTCAATGGTGCACGCGTGATAAGCCCGTGCTTTGTAGCAAGGACGGGGTCCTTATAGTTTGAATGAGGATACCACTGCTTTTTCTTCCGTAAAGGCAGCATATTTTTTGCAGTGTATAGCATAGTTATGACAAATCAGCTAGCAACAATGTTTCAAAATAGTTTTCGTAAAGTTGCATTTCCGTTAAAGAGACGCATAATAATGCTTTCGAATCAGCCTTCTGGGGCTTGGAACTTCAGTAGTCATCCGTCTTCGGAGCATAGAAACGTTTGGCAACTTTTTAAAATTTTTACAATGCTTTTTTTATATCTTTTTTGTGTCTCCGAGTCAATCATGATGTCTCAGATGTGGTAGTTTTAACACATCTTTCTACTAGAACGTCAATCGAAGTTGCAGCCCCTTGAAAGTAACTCATCGACCAGAATTTCATGTACTTAGTGAAGCCAAACACGAGTTTCATATCGTTCGAGCAGAAGTGGCTGGTTGCCCTAAGCAGCTTCACGTTCAGAGACGTAGCTATCACACTCGATGCTTGAAATCCGTCTTCGAAGGTTAATTGGAAAGGCAGGACAGCGTCACCCATCATTCTTAAAAAATGGTGGGGACCTACTTTACCTAGTATTCACCTATTGACCCCAATGTTGGAGGGTATCAAATAATAATAACTATATGCAGGGTTTTACGTCTCAAAACCACCATATATGTGGTTTTGAGGGGCGCCGTAGTGGCGGGCTCAGGAACATTCGACCCTCTCGTACTCTTTAACGTGCCCTGATATCAAACACTACATCACCCTATATGCCACTTCGTCTCTATCGAAATGTGACCACCACGGCCGGGATCGATCCCGCGACCTTTGAGTCAGCAGCCTTGTACCCTAGAGCCACTGATCCACCAAAGCAGACGTGTTGGAGTGTATTATCTAACAAATCGATAGTCGCAAAAATCACTCGAGCCCATTTATAACGACTGGCGTAACGGGGGTTCATTACACAGTTGGACCACTTTCTCTCTTCTCTCGTACCCGCAAGTGTGCTGCAAAGAAAGAATCAAGAAATGGCACTGGCAAAAGCTGTCACGTCACTGGGCGTCATCACCTTAAGTATGCGTCATGAAACGTAATCATTCTGTCGTGTTATTTTTGTGATTGAGTGTTACTGTGCAATGTTGACATGCTAGAAAGTGCTTGCATCCTGAAAGAAGAAGCGCGCCTGATCGAAACAGCGCATCATTTATTCTCACTATTGGCTAATACCGTGGCCCCCGGAGTTTTTCGCACACACAAAAAAAAGCCTAGACGAAAGTGTGGCGCCCCTGTCTATGCGAATTTCATAAGGCGCCCCAGGCACTGGAAAATGACGGTATACGTGTTTGCGAGGCTTGTTTTGTCGGTTGTTGAGTGACGATTCGGCTCGAAAGCGCATACTACTGCGTGATCAAAACTTTTAAAAAACTAAGAGTTTATTGGTGGATCTCATTTACGCCTATTACATTTAAAAATAAAAGCCAACTTAACTT